AAACACTCCTGTGTGGTACTCTAATGGTGGGTACAGCCCTGCTACATTTGGCCAAACCCATAGAATCCACAACACCAAGAGTAAACCCTCATGTAAATGGTGGACTTTGGGTGGTAATGATGTGTCAGTGTCCGTTCATCAACTGTAACAAACGTATCACTCTGGTGGGGATGCTGGTGGTGGAGGAGGCTAGGCATATGTATAGGTAGGGGGAATATTGGAAATCTATGTACTTGCCTCTCAATTTTGCTGTGAATCTAAAACTGCTCTAAAAAATAAAAATGTTCTATATTTTGATATAGTAGTGGTTACACAGGTGTATATATTTGTTGAGACTCCACTTTAACTGAGTACATTTTCTTATATAAATTATTTTTAATAAAGTTGACATGAAAAACTATGCTGGCTTGCATGTGCAGAGCAAAATAAAGGATATCAAAAGGAGGCTGGAGTATGAGAACATTACAATAGGTGAGAGGTAAAGGCCGATTGGACTTTGGCCATGGAAGTGGAGAGTATATATTTAGAAGTAAAATCAATAAGACTAGGTGACTGTTTGAGGGTGAGCAACAGAAGTGTCAGGACAGTGTCCATGTGTCTGACCCAAGGAATTGGGCAGAGAATGGTGGGTGGGTTGTCCTCTCTGAGCTAAGGAGCTGAGGAGGAGAAGCATATTTGGCTGGAAAGTCATAGCTTCTGTGGATGGCCCATCTCCATGGAGATGTCAATTTCATTTCATCATTCTGAATGTAAGAATTCCTTTTGTTTTGGGGGAAACCAAGGCAAGGGATTCATTCACAGTGTAAGATATTGGCAGGGCCAGAGCCACAGGAGGGCCCCGGATTCCAACGGCTGGGCAGCCCCTTTGCAGGAAGACCATCTCCCTCCTCCGCGTCTTTTGTCATGTCAGATGGATGAGCAGACAGCTGACCTTTCTGAGTCATTCAGCAAATTCCAACAGCTTTCTCATCTGAGACTCGCTGGTCTCCACTAGGCAAGATCTGAAGATCAAGCTTCATTTGGATTTGAGAAAAGGGGAGTGAAATTTGAACACTTAAAAAGCCAGAGAACAAAGAAAGCCAAGGCCCAGATACCTACCCTAACAAATAAAAAGCGTATGTCGAGCATCTAGCAAATTTCACTTCTACAAATACCGCCACCGCCTTAGGGAACAGCAGAGACATTTGACCGGGCAGCAGCTGTGCAGAGGGTGCTATTTAAAGACTCAGCTTTTGCAGTCCAAGGACTCTGGGTTTAGGATTTGATTAGGAGGCGGAGAGAAGACCGCAAAGACTGAGGAAAGAACCAGATTTGGGGAAAAACATCATCGGGTGGTTGGTTGCTGCTGTGAACCCTGAGTACATTAAATGAGTTCATTTTAATAAAATTACGTCTCTCCATCTCTCTCTGAGAAAATTAAATGTGTTAATTCATGGGGAGTGGTTGGGATGGTGTCCAGTACATAGTGCCTACTGGAAGGAAGCTCATCATTATCATTATTATCCCTCCATCTGCCCACCTACATGTGTATGCCCAGGGATAGAGAAATGCGCAGCTCTAATGATATGTTATTGTTAAGTGCTAGGATTTATAGTGATTCTGTTTTTAAATCTCTTCTTCATTTTTCCCCTGTAATCCTTGAATTCTTTACAACAGACACATATATTTTGTAAAACTCTCAAGTCATTCGGAGGGGGAAAATGTTCCTAGATTTACACCCCAACTCCACTGCTTAGGAGCTGTGTCACCTTCACTGAATCTGTTTTTATTTACTTGTTTGTTTGTTTGTTTTAGAGAGAAAGAGAGCATGAGCGGGGGAGAGATGAAGAGGGGCAGAGGGAGAGACAATTTTTTTTTTAAATGTTTATTTATTTCTAGGAGACAGAGAGAGAGACAGCGTGAGCAGGGGAGGGTCAGAGAGAGAGGGAGTCACAGACTGAAACAGGCTCCAGGCTCTGAGCTGGCAGTCAGCACAGAGCCCGACACGGGGCTCGAACTCACGAACCGCGAGATCATGACCTAAGCGAAAGTCGGACGCTTAACCGACTAAGCCACCCAGGCGCCCCAGGGAGAGACAATCTTAAGCAGGTTCCACTCTCAGTGCACAGCCCGACACAAGGCACCTTCCTACCACCCTGAGATCATGAGCTGAGCTGAAATTAAGAGTCAGACGCTCAACCAACTCAGCCACCCGGGCGCCCCTGATTCTGTTTTCTCTTGAATACTACTACTAATAAAAAAAGGTAATTATGTCACTTACCTCTTCCAGGGGTTAGGAGACTTGAATGAGATAATCTAGATAGAGCTTGGCATGGTACTTGGCAGAGAATAGAGTGAGGTAAATGCTGATTCTGCTATTAGCAACAGAAGTGGTGGAGGCTATGCTATTTCTTATGGCAGTGACCATGTTCTATTGACCTCAATGTCCTTGATATGTGGTAGTCTTCCAGAAACAGCTGGTAGTTTAGCTGGAGCTACCTCAGGCAGAACCTGGGAACATTCTCTGTCAAGGTAGAAGAAAGGGTAAAAGTTCTCAAGTTCCTTCCTCCTTTAGGTTCAAGGATTGGTCCTTCTGGCAATTGGGAAGCACAAGTTATTTCTCCAAAATCCTTGAGGCTCTCTGGAGAGATGAGGTCCTTAGAGGTTCCCGTCATTGTTTCCTCATTCTCCCATATGATGGCTAGCTGGAAGTCAGGGGCATTGTTCCCATGACTCTGTGCTCTCCTTCATGAACTATAGGCAAGAAATTCTCCTGAAAATTTCTAACAATGCAAAACCTCAAGTGAACAGTTATGGAGAAACTGCAGCCATTTATCCATGACTGTGTGTGAGTGTGTGCTGGGGGATGGCATTCTTTGATATATCTAAAACAATCCTTCAGAGGCAAAAGAATCCTTCCCATATTTTATACACACTCTACAATAAACATGCATGCCTTTCACTTTTTAAGAAAATGTCCATTTATTTATTTTGAGAGAAAGAGAGAGAGTGGGGGAGGGGCATAGAGAGCAAGGGAGAGAGAGAATCTCAAGCAGGCTCCATATTCAGTGCAGAGCCCATTTCAGCGCTTGATCTCATTAGCCATGAGACCATAGATGAGATCAAGAGTTGGACACTAAACCAACTTAGCCACCCAGGTTCCCCAACATGTATTCCTTTTAAAATAAGAAATACAAAATTAAGGAATCTTATTCTTCATAACTGTGGTCCCAGGAATTCATGTACATGGCAGCCACACTTCTCATGTTTTCTCCCAGTCTCCGTAGGATGCAGAGTGTTGTTAGTAGAACAGTGAGGAAAGTGTGGCTGCAGACTTATTCCTATTGTTTGAGATGTTTGAATCTTAAGCCATTCACATTTACAAACAGTACATGTCAATAATAGTTTTTTTATTATTAAAAAATCCATTTTTGGGTGCCCAAGTGGCTCGTTCGGTTGAGCATCCAGCTCAGGTCATGATCTTGCGGTTTTTAGGTTCGAGGCCCTTAATGTGCTCTGTGCTGACAGCTCAGAGCCTGGCACCTGCTTCGGATTCTGGGTCTCTCTCTCCATCCCTCCTCTGCTCCCACTGTCTCTCTCTAAAATAAATAAAACATTTAAAAAATCCATTAATTTGGGACATATATTTTGAGCACCTACTACATGCCAAGTACCATTCTAGGTATTTGTGGTTTGTTTGCTACATGTGGCAACCCTGTATGTGGGGGGCTCCCATTAAGAGAGAATGTGGAGATGGTGGAAATGAGTGATTTGGGGGCACAAAGGCTGTGGTGTGGCTCTAGTGACTACTAGAGTGACTGGATGTCAGCTATAGTAAGTCTGACCCTGTATGTGACAGTGACATGTGAGTATCATAGTGAAAGTGACTAATTGGGCAATAACAAGGACAGCTGTGTACCCAGTAGGGGCCTGCTAAATATTGGCTTGACTATGAGGCAGTGAAAGTAGCTGAGTGACAATGACAGTGAAAACCGAAAGGGTGACAGCTGGGCACAGAGTCCAATTGCTATACTGTCCAGAACTGTTTGAAGTTTGTGGTCCTTGACAGTGGTCGCCTGTGGTCGGACAGTGACAGTAAACAATAATGAACCCAATGACAGCAACAATGCAAGTGACAGTTCTGCCCAGCAGATTGAATTTGTGATTAAAAACGGTGATGGAGTGGGAGTCAGCCTGACAATGACAGCTCTCAGAACGACCGAATATTGACATTGTGGATGTAACAGCTGTAACCGCAGAGGGAACTCGGCATTGTACTGAGACTGCTGGATTTGGGTGGCATGACTGGCAGTGACAGAAAAATTGGCTGCGCGTCTGTGACAGAGTGACAGTGTGAGGTTCAGTGGGCCAGCACTGATGTGACTTAATTTGTCTGATACTGTCTGGATCTGACTTACTCTGTTTGGCTGTATGAAGGTGGCAACAGGAGCTCCAACGTGGACTGCTCACTGTGCAACAAAGCGTGTGAAAAGAGAAACTGAGCAAAAGAAAAGCTATGATCGCCCCTCCCCCCCACCGCCATACCACATCCTGAGTGGGAGGAGGGAAAGGCGGGATCAAAACGCCTTCAACACACCTCGGTCGGCTGATACGACCTATCAAGTCCGAGCAGTGCCAAGACTCTCCGCCTATGAGGATGCGTCTGGGGACGCGGCTCAGGTCACGTCTCTGCGTTGCACGTGAACGTGTTTTGGAAAAATGTAGAGAAACCTTTTGTGTCTACTTCTGGGCCATTCTTGAAATAAGATCCTCACTCTAGTACTGCCCAAGCAAGAGTCCGCGGAACCCCATCAAAACTTTCATAACAGAGTGTGGGGAGGGGAGGGAGTGGCTAAGGTCACAGGTCAGAGAGCCTGCTAACAGCGCGTTAGCCCCCGCGCCCGGGCGCCCGGGCTTTGGTGGCGGGCGCGCTCGACGCAGGCCCCGCCCCTCAGGGCCCGCCCCCAACACGTGACTATGGCGCGCGGGGCAGGCCGGGCCGCCCCCTCGCCGCTCTACTCCTTACGCGCCGGCCTCAAAATGGCCGCCTTCTGGCGTCTCTGGCGCTGTTGAATGGAGAAAGCTTTATTGTTCCCTTCGGGCAGGAGTGTTCGTGTCCTCTATGGCGCTGTCAATAAAGAACGGCAGTTTGAATCGGTGCTGAACAGGTAACCATAGAAACGGGGCTGGGACTCAGCGTGGAGACCCCTTTAGCAGCTGAGGCCCGGGAGGCGCCCCAAATGAGGGGCGCGCTGCGACCCTTCGGCGTGGCGAACTCCGCGGGGCTCTGCCGAGTCGCAGCCACCTCCTCTTGCCCCGGACGCAGACCCCCTGGGGCGGGTCCCACCCCGAGCGCAGGCTCGGCTGTAAGTCTCCGGTGGGGAGAGGCCGCGGGGCCCTGTCGGGGTGCCCCCGGCCCGGCCCCCGCCTGGGGCCTGCCCCCGCTCGTCACCGCCTGCACCTCGGCGCGATCCGAGGCCTCCTCGTCGTCGCTTCCAGAGTCTCTCCCCCTCCTAACAAGTCTGCACGAGGCTTCGGCAGGCTCCGGCCTGGGGCCAAATCCCTAGCCCCCCACCCCACCCCGTTTTGGGCTGTAGGGAACTAACAGTGGTTTTTACATGTTTAATTTGTTGGGGGGGGGGAGAAGACTTTCTTGTAATTTGTGAAATGTATATGAAATCAAATTTCAGTGTCCGCAAGTGAAGTTTTATTGGCACACAGCCACGTTCATTGCTTTATATCATCTATGGTTCATTTCTTGCTACGAGGGCTGTGTTGAGTAGTTGCGACAGACATGGCCTGGCTTTGAGGACATGGCACACAAAGCCAAAGACACCTACTGTCCGGCCCTTCACAGAAGTGTGCCAACCCCCGCCCTGGACACAAGTAGACTGGTCAGGGTCGTCCGGCGATTCTTCTGATCGTTTTTCACGGAAAGGGAAACTCGAATTAAAGTTACCCCGTGCACCTAAAGCTCTGGTCTTATTGATCTGATCGGTTAATGTGGGAATTGTTTCCCCTATTTTTAGTAACAATACCATCCACCCAGCGCCTACAGTTAAGTCAGGTGCTTTGTTAATATTCATACCCAGCGGCTTTTTGCTAACAACATTTCAAAAATCAGGATCCGTGTTTCCGCTCAAGAGAGGAATCCCAGATTCTGAGGTTAAACCTCCTAAGGGTGTACTCGATTGTAGGTTTGGCAAATTGAGCTCATTCCAGGGGAGCCCTCTCCTCTGTGACCCACCTCATACTGCTGGGACTTCTTTCAAGTCTCAACCTGGGGCTGTTTGGTTTTTTCCTCAAGTCGAATTCCAAATCTTTGTATGGTGTATGGAGATCTAATAATTACAACCTTGAAGTGAAGTTTTTCTTAGCTAACTCATCAAACTTACGCCACACCCAACTTTCTAATTTAGATGCCTTTCTTCTACACAGTAGCTCCCAAACCTAGCTATTCATCTCTAGTTTAACAAATGATTTTAGAATACCCTGTGCCCACATGTCTGCTTTCATGAATCTGAGTATTTTCTGAGCACCTACTATGTACTAAGGATGATTTGAATCCCTGGGAGAACAAGATCACCATGATCTTTGCACTTTGACAGGGTTTAAATTCAGTAGGGTGTTGGACAGATGGTATGCAAGTAAACAAGGCTCATTTCAAATGCAGCTGTCATAGCATCATAATAAAATCAGTAGTTCATATTTATTAAATGATTCCTGCAAAGCACTACGTGCTTTATTTACATGGAATATCATTCGGTCCTCTCACCAACTCTATGACAAAGGTAGTATTAATATTCCTGTTTTAAAGACGAGAAAATTGAGATTCAGAGAGATGTCCAAGGTTACATAGCTAATGTATGAGGGAGCTGGGTCGGATCTGAACCTCAACTGATCCCACTACCCTGTATTACTCCATCTGTTAAGTACCTTTTCTTGGGAGGCCCTCCGGGGCAGAACCACACCTTACCTGTCTTTGTATCAGCTGTTAGCCTGGGCCCACAGCCTCTAGTCTGGTAAGTATTAAATAAACAGTTCAGGCCATTTGTTGATCAAATATTTGCTCGCCTGCTATACCAGATGCCATGGTGCTAGGCCTTATGATTACTGTGAGCAAGATGGACCTAACACCTCATTTCTAAGACAAACAGTGGCAACTCTGATAAAGGTAATAAAACAGTGCTGACCCGGGGGACCCCTGTCACCGGGCTGGCCCAGCAAGCCACTTGAGAAAGGTAGTTAAAACCGAACCTGTCTGAGTGACAGGAATCCAGTCCAGGTAAGAAGGGAGAGAACTGGGAAGGAGGAACTTTTTAATAGGATCTGAGATTGTGAGGTGGCAAGAACTGGGGGTGTTGGAGGGTTAAAAGAAGTGAGTCATGGTTCTGTGGTTCAGTCCTGTGCTCTGAGATGCCAACTCTCAAGCCACCTTTACTGCTGAGAGGGCTGCATGCCCATTGGCCAGCTACAGATGGTCTAATAGGAGATGTGTATAGTGGTACCTCCTCGAAAGGGTTGTTGTGCAGATTAAATAAGAAAAAGTTCAATAACAGGTTTGCTGTTTCCTTTTTGTTCTTGTTACACATGTTGCTGAATTCCAATTAGAGAAAACCAAATTTGGCCCCAAATAGAAAAATTTATTTAAAGTGCTAAATAATAACAAAAATCCAGGATTATGTTACTAACAAAGCTGAGGGTGTGTATGTATGTTTCTATCTTTGGGAGAGACAGGAACAGATCTTATTTTTTCTCAATGTTCTTGTTGACAGAGGAACTCTTCCAAATGTGTTTTACTTTTCTTTTTTTTTCAACCAAATTATACAACTATCTACTCAGAGTACTTTTCATTATTTTAGTGTGTTCCTCCACTGAAGGCGGGTGCATTTGCTTGAGGCAGTGTAAGAAAATGATAGGTTTCTTCTAGTTGGTGGTCATTTCAAAGTTTGTTTGCAAATGATTTTGGGTTTCCTCTGAAAGTTTTCAAAATACCATTGCATACTTTAAGCAGGGCATTGAATGCTTTAAAGCAAGTCGCAGACTTTTGGAATTGGTAAAAATAGGAAGGTATTTGGGGTCATGAACGTGAAAAATTGCAGAGGCAATAAGAAATCAAGCACGCTGTGTAAGAGGATTGGCAATGTCAAGTTTTGCTTTAAACCGCGTCTAGGAACCAGGTTGCACATGTCCTTAGAAGATGTGATCCAGCCCAGCAAACGGAGCGAGGAATAGGCCTGAGGAACAGGCCCGACAGTGGCATGTTAATGCAGTGTTGAACAATAAGCCCGGCATTAAATTGCTATTTTAGGTTTGGGTGGGACCTTCGCATTTAAAGTATTGCAGTTTTACTCTGTTATTTGGGTCTTTTGGGTTCCAGTAAAGAGAAGGTGGTAACACTAGTTTTGAAGGATAATGTAAAACTGCAGGAAGAGCGAGGGCATACCAATTTGTTTTTCAATCTATTTTATTTCAGTTCAAAGCATTGCTGCAGACAGGCAGCACAGGAAAACGAGCCACACTTTGGCAATACTCAACTGCTTTTGGAGATTGAAGAAGACCGAGTATAACCAAAGTGTGGTTGTTTTTGTCGACTATCTGTCTGCCAAGAAGCTCTGAACTGAAATAAAATAGATTGAAAAACAAATTGGTATGCCCTGTTGCCTCATACTGAGTATTTACATTACCCTTTTGGAATACTGCCTGTACCAGCACCCTGGAGGAAGGCAGTGACCCCTCAGCCGCTTTCAACTCTTCAAGAGAGCGAGCTCTTTGATTTTCACAAGGAAATTGAATTGGAATTTATGGTTTTCTGGATCTCTGATAGGCTGCCCTCCTACAGCCATCATCCCGGTGATGTGAAGAAAGCAAGCTGTAACTATGTAGAGGAGAGAATTAAATATTAAGGGCATTTAAATTCAGAGATGAGATTGTCACCTTCTTGAAGTCATGCAGAGGGTGCGGTCTGTCATTTGCAGAGGCCATTGCAGTTTTGAGGCTTCTGCAACCCTCAAGGGAGAGAAGGGTAAGGAAGGAACACTAGCTTTCCTTATATTTCCCTAAGGTGGTTATTTAACTCCAAATCTTCAAACTCATGACACCCAAGTTTTTCACTTCCTTAGATGAAGCAAATATATTACAGCTGATCCCAGATTGTTAAACTCGGGTAAATGGCTGAGCTGCGGGGGATTCATGAATCCTTTGAATTTGCCTGCATATTTGTCTGACTGTCATGTTTCTAGGGAGTGAGCCCATTCTTTAATCAGGTCTCAGAGGGATCCTTGACCCTCAAAAGGTGCAGAGCCAACAATGAAACGTCACATGTAATAAAAACCACTGGACCAAAGTAGTGATGGGTCCCCCTGAAACCAGTTACTTCTTACTGCTGTATGGTCTTGACTTCAGTTTTGAAAGTATCTTTCCAGGCCTTGGTTCTTATCTCAGGTGGCCAAGCAGAGTTGAGTGTCCTGTCTCCTAGGGCTGTCTGCCCCAGAGATCACTGTCATTATTTTACAGGAGACGGTTGAAATGGTAATGCGTTGTCTCAGCAGCCGTGGTAGCCGCTGTCCTGCTGGTTTCTCCTGCCCGGTGAAGGGAAGAGTGGTAGGAGGCTAATACTCTGGCTCTAGGCATCAACTTCTTGCTGATGGACCAGGTTCCTCAGGACCACAGGAATGTAGGGTTAGGAGGGAGAGAGGAAGAGGAGAGGGATGGATTCAAGGAGGCAGAGACAGAGGAACAAAGGAGGAGAGATACTGCCCCCTGTGTTTGTCCTGGCAGCCCCACCTATCTAGGGAAAGAAAGAGCTCTTTTTGAAAATTTTTAAAATGTTTTTATTTATTTCTGAGAGAGAGAGAGAGAGAGAGACAGCGAGACAGCGAGACAACATGAGCAGGGGAGGGTCAGAGAGAGGGAGACACAGAATCTGAAGCAGGCTCCAGGCTCTGAGCTGTCGAGCCCCATGCGGGGCTCAAACCCTTGAACCGTGAGAGTTTTTAAACCAAACTTCTCTTGCTTATCTAATACTAAGACCTCTGAAAAAGTCAATTCTTTGGTGTAATTTCTGGTTTTATGTATTACTACTCAAATGGAAAGAAAAGGAAGGAACTATCTTTAAGTCTTAGGACATTTTGTAAACATGGGACTTCAGTAGAAAACTGCTGTGGGC